TTTTCCCTGGTCTGAAGCCTGCTTGTTGTGCAATAAGCTGGGGTTCAATAACAGGGCCTACTCAATTTAATAGCATTCTCTCATAAATTTTATACAGATGACACCAGAGAGAGATTGGTCAGTAGTTCTTGGCATTGGAGGCATTTTTACCAGGTTTTAAAAGGGCAATAATCTTAGTTTTCCTCCATAGTCTGGGAATCTGTTTTTGTGCCGAGCATTAATTGTAAAAATTCAAAAGCCAGCATGAAATGCAGGCTCCTTCAATAAGGCTTGGCCAGAAGTGCTTTTTACTGGACTGTCAACAACTTATAATTATGATGTCCAGTTGTGTATTTCCGTGCATACATAACCCATGTGTTACTTCGGTTCCCATTGTGAACCCTAAACTCAATACATGAGCGAATCAACTTCACCTGACTTCTAGGAGGCTCACTTCAAATGAAAAGATTTGAAACAGACTGCCTGAAGCAAGACAGATGGAATCTTGATGCTGCTGGTTTGTATAATAAAGGGAGCAATTTAAGCTTAAGCAGATGAGTGGTGTGTTTTTTGTGCCTTCAGGTCACCTGCTGAACTATGGCGATCCCATGAATTTCACACGGGTTTCTTAGGCAAAGAAACCCCTGCCCATTCCTTCGAGATATAGCCTACAGCACCTGGTATTCATTGGCTGCCCCCCATCTAAGCATTAACCAGGGCTGACCCTGCTTAGCTTCCAAGATCAGTGGAATCTGTGCCTTCAGGATATTTAGGCCTACAAAGCAGCAAAGTCAACCATAAATAGCCAATAAGTGAAATGATTTCAAAATCAATATCTTTACTATTCTGAAGGGAAGTTAGTTTAAATGCATGTCCTCATCACATTGAAGTCAAACTTGTGATTGACAGTGAGGAGATTCGCCATGGATTGTGGCGAATCCACCGTGGGGTGTGGGGAACCTGTCACCTTTTACCTCATCCTACAGGGGAAGCATCGCCACCCAGCTTCCCCCCCATTCTTCTCTATAGATCATGGGAAGCCTCCTGTGTCCCCGCTGGTGCCTTTTACACAATGATTTCACCTCACTTCAAGCACAGAGACCCGTCGGAAGTAAATCTACATTGTGTGGTAGGATCTGGTGAACTCCATGCCTGAAGTGAAACTGGTGTACGATGGGCAATTTTGCACATGTGAAGACATCAAATGTGCTTTGGCTTAATCAAAGTACTGGAGCAGATATTTTAAATGAAATCAACTGCTTGGCAGATGCTCACATGCAGTTAAAAAGCTTTCTATAAAATAGCCACTGAAGAACACAGAAAGGCACAGGTCGTCAAGTCCAGTGAGCTGAGGAAGGCCTACACCTCTCCTTTCTACTTGAAGATCTATCTCTTCTGGCAGGCTTACCCAGCCAGTTTCAATCACAAATTTTAAACTTGCATATTCTGTTTTGTCTTTATTCTGTGCATTTTAATATGGATTCCGTAGAAATGTATTTTAATGAGGGTATTTTATAGAATTTTTAGGTAACTATGTGTTTTTAGCAATGTTCTGAGATGTCTAGAGCCATGTGGAAAAGAAGTTAAGAAATAATAATAAAAATCTCACCCTCTGCAATGAACTACTGTGTTTTGTGCAGCTGTATGACATGTCTAGTGTCACTAATGCATTGGCTGTATGTTGTACAAAATTTAGAAATAAAACACAGGTTTGTGTTCTATACTCACTCAGTGTTCCCATGCAATTATATAAGTGGTTGAGGGCTGAGCCTATGTAAGCACCAATATATTTGCAGCTGGCTTTTAAAATACCACAGTATTTTGGTTGCTTTACTAAGAAATAAATTCATTTTTTCAGGCTGAAATAATAGCAGATTAATTTATTGAGTGATCCCATGTTCCAGTGTTCTGCTACTTCTTTCCCCACAATGTTAATAATTTTATAAACCTCTGGTATGCCCCATCTGGTTTGCTTTTTGCAAAAATTAAAATTTAAACTTCTCTGATCAGAAGTTTAAATAATCAGCCAATCATATTCCGTAGGTGTGCCTGTTCTTTACTCTCAATAGGAATCAGTGGGCTTCAGAAAGGTGATAAATGGATAGCAGTGAGTGTCATTAACCTGCCACAGAGCAAAATTAGTGAACCACGCTGGGACACTAAAATAATATATTAGATGAGGACCAAATAATGTTTGCATTCTTAGAAAAGAAAATCAAAACAAAATCTGCATTTTTGATGTCTTGCATTTTATTTCACATAGTGCCCAGTCAGAGGGAGAATTCTTAAAAATTCAGCATTTCACATGCAGGCACCACAAACGGTGAACCTTTTTTTAAAAAGGATTTATTCCAGTACTCTTCTTCTGATGTCTATCTTCGGCATCTGCGGTCAATTTTTAGACATACTGACTAATGGATGTTGAAAGATCTATGTGTTAATATAGAAAACAAACTCATAGTAATGGTCATCACAACATCCTATGGCAATGAACTCCAGGAATTAATTATGTTCTGTGGAAATAGATGCTTGTTCTCATTTCCAAATTTACTGTCAAGTAATTTTCATCAAAGGCATTCTAACACTTCAAAAAGCAGCACATTTTCTTTACTGTTCATAGCATAACAAATCTTTGCCTGGCCACACAGTCTTTCTATTATTGTCTTTCTAAGCTGGGTATATAGTTATACAATTTCTAACTTTGGTTGTGAAAGCTGGAGGATGAAGAAAGCTGACCAGAAGAAAAGTAACATTTGAAATGAGAGGCTGGAAGGGCTTTCAAAAGATTCAATGAGCTGCTAAAAAGACAAGGGAACTGATCTTAGAGCCAAGATAATTAAACTGAGGCAGTCATACTTTGGATCAGGGGTGGGCAACTACGAGGGTTGAATGAAAAGTAATGCCTCCACCTTCGTTACTTGGGTTTGGATGGGAATATTTTAATAAATCGAACGCAGAAATAATCTTTAGAATGTGCTCTTTAACTACCACTATTCACTTTTTGACATAATCACCAGACAATTGGATACATTTTTGCCAACAATGAACAAGTTTTCTGAAGCCATCACAGAAGAAGTCGGCACTCTGTTTCTGCAACCCATCGTGCACAGATCTTTCGACAGCCAAGCCAATAATGTGACCCACACGTTCTTGTGAAATGCTGATTATGCTTGAAATTTCTCTCTCAGTGATACGACAATTGTCCTGAATCATTCTGTCAACCTTTTGCTTGTGAAACTCGGTGGTTGCTGTCACAGGACGTCTAACTCTTTGTTTGTCACGCAAGTAATAGTAATAATAATAATAATAATAATAATAAAAACTTTATTTATACCCCACTCCATCTCCCCCGGGGGATTCGGTGCGGCTTACATGAGGCTATGCCCCTCAGTACAGTACACAACAATATAACATAAAACATAAAAAATCCAAAAAATAAAATACATAAAATGCAAAACCAATATAATAAGTGACACAGCAATATAAAATCAAACATTAAAACACAAAAGATTTCACTGGGCAGGGCCAAATTCAAGGATAAAATTTTAAAACACTGGGAGATAGGACAATGCAAGTCAGATGTTCCCACCTCAACATCTTTAAATTTACTCGCCTAACAACGCACAATACTCACATCAACACATCATCATAAACAGCTTGCATTCTCTGATGAATCTCCTTTGTGGTGACACCTTCTGCTGTCAAGAATTCAATGACTGCATGTTGCTTAAGTCACACTAACCGACCGTTTGCGCAGGGTTCCATACTTCGCACTTTAACAACACAACCATTCAATGCTAAGTTTTCCTGCCAAAACTGATCTATAGAGGAGAGTCTACAGAACAAGCCAGTACCTGCCGCATACCAGTACTGCCATCTGTTGAGGAGTTACGAAGGTAGACGCATTGCTTTTCATTCAACCCTCGTATGAAAGACTAGGGGGCTGCATAAGCCTCCTAGGATACTGAGAGAAGGGGGGTTTTCTTTGCTAATGAAAAATATCCCCCAAAATGCCTCTACAGTATGTGAGGGAATTTTCACTATGTTCTGGGATTCACAAAAGTCCTTTCCTGGGTTTAAATTGAGTGAAAACTATGGTGGCATTGCACTCCGTGCCCCTATTGGACACTGCTGGGCAAAATAAATGTTTTTGATCCTTGGAAAAGACAGGTGGCCACCAGACTTAATCGAAATGCACCCTTTTTTATTACAAAATGCCCTTTTTTAATCCTTCCTGAGGGATATACTCAGCCCACCCCTTCTTTTAACCTTTCGTAAGATGACATGATTCACTGAAAAAAGTGACAATGCTTGATAAAGTGGAAGGTGGAAGGAAAAGAGGGAAACTATACTAAAGGTGGATTGATTCAATAAAGGAAGCAATGGCGCTGAGTTTGCAAGAGTTGAGCAGGGAAGCTGATGACAGGTTGTCTTCTTGTGATCAAATCAACCTGATTGCAAACAACAACAACAACAACAACAACAACATATATTTTCTAAGCATCTTAAGTCTTATTCTTAAATAAGATGTTCAAATCCTCTTTTCAGCATCTAAGGAGAAAGAACCACTTCAGAAAGGAGAGGAGACAGTCTACAGAAAAGCTAGAAAAGTTTCTTCATTAGTCTTTTCCTTGACACATTGGTTTCTAAATGACAGTCATTGTTTATATAAAGAGAACTGAAACATATGGTTCTCCAGCAATTTCTTTTAAAAAGTACTACCTTGCAAACTTTCCTAACAATTAAAATTATCTTTGAAAATGCTCTGCTGCAGACTAAACTTTCAACCCAGACTGAGTCTTCAACCTCTAGGTCTGGATAAGAGTCCTATAGAAACTAGTCAGTGAACATCTTTATAAATTTATGGCCCAACAAGTTTTCAATCCATATGAGTCCCTCACAACAGAGTGTTTTCGTCCAGTCTCTTCCTGCAGCAATACTACCAAATAACATACATTACAAGGAAACATTCTGCTGAAGGATTTTTCTTGGGTTTATTTTTATTTTATTTAAACACCTACCTGAGCTGTTGAAGCAGCAGGTTGTAAATATTCACTGGGGCTTACAGTAGCAGTGGCAGCCATACTGTCCTCTGGGTCTGAAAAAAGGAGACATGGCTAAGTAATGGAATGGAGAGTAAAGTTTACATTAACATCCCCATAGTTTACAGTACTAAGATCAGGAATGTGTGATTCCCCCAGATGCTGAACTGCAATTCTCATAATCCTCACCATTGGCTATGCTGGTCAGGCTGATGGAATCTGCAGTCCAAGACAACATCTGTAAGGACACCCCTGCTCCCCACCTCTAGGAAAGATCAGAGGCTGGTACTAAATTAGAAACAAAATTTAGTTTTAATCTTTCGATCAGTAGTGAAGCCGATCCATAGCATAAAACCAAGGAAGAGAAGAGCACTCATGTTATGTATTTATTGAAATAACGTCTGTTTTAAAAATTACTAGCAAGCTCACCGACCAAATGAAAAGTTTTCAAAATTGTGTAAAACTTAAAATGTCTCATGAAGCACGGTATTTGTTTTTGTGGTATATAACTGTGCAACCCAAATCAAAGACCCTTTGGATCATAGTAAGTTTTTATCTCCTCATTAAGAAAAAATAATTTCAGATTAAAGCTTTGCACATTTAAAAACTATATTCTTGATACATCCAAACTAAACTGATGTTTTATTTATTTCCATTTTAAGGCTATGTTTAGTGCATATTCTCTGTATTTTTTCTCTCTCTCTCTAACATCTTAAGAGTTTAATATTCCACTATATAACATGTCTAATCCAAAGAGGGTTTCTAGATAATGCTTTTAAAAATCAAAACAAACTGATGAAACTAGATTATAAAAAAATACTGAAATGTCCCAAATCAGAAAAAAGCACAAAAACGAAATAAATGCTAATTCAATTGGTATTTTAAAATGTCACACAGGCTATGGGTTACATGAAAAACACTCTTTTTAAACTGACTGGAGTAGGAGAAGTTTGTGTTGCACTAGAAAAAACCATTTAGGAATAACACTCACAAAATCTGTATAAAAAGAAAGGTAAGACAGTACATGCATAACTGGGGAAACAACCACTGCATGATTAAGTAAAAATAAAAGAGCTTAGTGTGATTTGAGTGGTTACTGTAATTTTGCCCTTCTCTGGCTTCATTTGATACCATCTTGGAACACATTACATTAAGAGCGAAGTGGGTAGAAACAATAAAAATCTCTGACCTTTAACAATCTCACAGTAATTGAATCAATTATCCAAATGACTATTTGGATAAAGCCAGCAAGGGAGGAGAGGGAAAATTTACTAGCAAAGAGCCCCAACGAAAATGCATACAATTTCTTGTTATTATGATTGCAACATCAAGAAGGCAGCAATACTTGTTAATAGCTTAGCAGAGTTCCTTAAAGATGCTTGATGGAGCTGGCTGGAAGTGAAATTTTTGTGTTATTTCATGGACTAGAATCATAACTGTGCCTAATGGTTACAACTGTTAGTTTATTTCCTGGAAACTCGCCACAGACTAGCAACCAATAGATTCATAAATTCAGTAGCACGGGTTTAACATATATTAAAAATATATGTTGTAACTTTGATCCCCAATAATTGGCTACCCAATTATGAAGATTAGTTCACAGAGCATTATGTGCATATCTGCATTTCAGAAGCAAGCCTTATGATTTTACAGCTGTAAAGATAACATTTGAAAATAACATACAAAACCGCAAGATACAGAAGAACTATGGGCAGACTTTTCAATGCTCAGTGAAAAGAGTAGAACAGTTCTCTCAACAGGCGTTGAATGTTTCCCATGATAGCAATTTCCTCACTACTTGCAGTCCATGTATTCCCAAGAACTCCCTGGTGCATTTTAAGAACCTGTAACATCGAATCAATGTGTCTTGCAGACAACTAGCACCATGTGTGAAGTATAATAATATAATCTATAATATTTACAGCCCTAATAAATAACTATTTAGCATATCTGCTGTCTGTAGCTTTCGAGGCTTGTGAATAATTGTTTACAGAGGGGCAGTATCGCACTCATTGTACAATTGGAAACCACAGATACTTTAGCGTTTGTTTTCAATACGTCTGCAACTTGGTAAAGGTGAAATAACTTGTATCTGAATTCCTTGGAACCAGAAGTATTTTGGATTTTGGAATACCTGTATATACATAATGAGATATATTGGAGATGGGGATCCAAGTCTAAATAGGAAATTCATATGTTTCATATAAATCTTATACACATAATCTGAAGGTAATTTTATGCAATATTTTTGCATAATTGTGCATGAAACATAGATTGCACTGAACTATCAGAAAGCAAAGTTACCTGGGTTGTTGTAGGTTTTTTGGGCTATATGGCCATGTTCTAGATTCAGAAGATGTAGGTGAAACATCAGGAGAGAATGCTTCTAGAACATGGCTATATAGCCCGAAAAACCTACAACAACCCAGTGATTCCAGCCATGAAAGCCTTCAACAATACTAAGTTACCTGTATTGTCATCTACCTATTATGGCTCACAAGAGTCTTCTATCACCAAATTTACTCAAGCATAATGAACCATTGAATATAATGCACATCTCAATTTTAGCAATGGAATTTATCCAAAAAAGTGCATGTTAGGCTCAAGTAAATATGGTACATTTCTTCTACCACATTACTGCCCGTTTTGGTATTAAGAAACATAAATCTCTCTCTCTCTTTCCCTCCTCTAGCAATAAAGATTGGACAGCTTTTGTGAGTTGAGGGGTGTGAGACACGTAAGTCTAGTACTGGAATGAACTCTTCCTTCATGACCCAGTTTCAACAATCATTTGAGACCAAGAGAAAGAGGGAGAAAAAACAGGATACAGTACTTATGTCCAACCAGGCATCACGAATCATTTATGTGCCTGATCTTTCCTGACTAAAACTAGAACTTATTATTTTTTTCTTGCTGAAATTGATTTTGTCACTTTGGCTCATTTCTTCATTCAATCTGAATCTTAATTCTACCTTCCAAGCTATTCGCTAATACTGCCAGTCTGGCGTCATCTGCAAATGTGACAAGCATCCAGTCTATTCCTTTAACCAAGTCATTTATAAAGATGCTGAACACTGGGCCCGGTGCAGAACCCTGCAGCGCTCCACCTGTCACTTTCCTCCAGGATGACAAAAAACCATAGGTGAGCACTCTTTGGATTTAGTCCATCAGCTAGTTGCAAACCCACCTCATGCAACATTCTCTTGTCTGACTTCTCCTAATTCGTCTGCAAAAATAAAATGTGGGAACTTAATCCAAAGGAATTAATGAAATCAAAACACACTATAACATTCCTCCGGCTTAGAAGTAAGGTTAGTTTGGCATAAATTGTTTTTGAGAAACCCATGTTGGCTCCTGGTTTTTTTGTCGTGTCAGGAGCGACTTGAGAAGCTGCAAGTTGCTTCTGGTGTGAGAAAATTGGCCGCCTGCAAGGACGCTGCCCAGGGGACGCCCAGATGTTTTGATGTTTTACCATCCTTGTGGGAGGCTTCTCTCATGTCCTTGCGTGAGGAGCTGTAGCTGATAGAAGGAGCTCAACCGCGCTCTCCCCGGATTTGAACCTGTGACCTGTCGGGTCTTCAGTCCGACCGGCACAAGGGTTTAACCCACTGCGCCACCGGGGGCTCCTGGTAAGGCCAGCTTTATAATGTAAAAGCTCAGATTAGTCATTTAATGACACAGTCTAGAACAGGCATGGGCAAACTTCAGCCCTTCAGGTGTTTTAGACTTCAACTCCTGCAATTCCTAACAGCCTTAGTGTGGGAGTTGAAAGTCCAAAATACCTGGAGGGCCAAAGTTTTCCCATGCCTGATATAGAACATGTTGCTGGCTGTTGTAGCTACCCAAGTCCTCTAACCCATTTGTGTGTGTGTGTGTGTGTGTGCGTGTCAGGAGTAGATTGAGAAACTGCAAGTCGCTTCTGATGTGAGACAATTGGCCATCTGCAAGGATGTTGTCCGGGGACACCCGGATGTTTTGATGTTTTATCATCGTTGTGGGTGGCTTCTCTCATGTCCCCACACTCTTAATGCTTCTTAAACTGTGGGTCCTGACCCCAATTGGGGTCCCCTTAGCTCAATGTCAAGGTCACAAAAAAATTCTTGTGGCTGTTTTAGACATTTACATATATCTGTTCTGTAGTGTTTATGGTGGACCCTGCAGAAGATATTTCAGCTGTACTTTATAAAATCAGCCTGTTTAGAAAGACTGGTAAATGCTGATTTGGTATGAGGATTTTTAAATACCTCCATTTTATATGCCTATATACCCGGGGTCACGTAAAAATTTAACGGGCCAAAAGGGGTTCCGATCGTAAACGTTTCTAAAGCCTTGCTCTAACCTACCCTCTTTTGATTACAGACCAAACAACTTGCCCGCCTCTAGTCTGCAGACTTGAATTCAGTCATCCTTTCTCCAAGAATTCTCAAATATGCAAGACAGGACCTCATCACACTAGAGAATGAATCCACTTTAAATCCGGTTTCTGCCTCCTACAGAATTCTGGGGTTTGTAGTTTTGTGAGGCTGTTAAGGGCTCCTCTCTAAATTAAAAACCCCAGAATTCAGCAGGATCCAGCAACCGGATTTAAAGTGCATTCATTTTCTAGTGTGATGAAGTAGACAGAGGCTCTGATATTACATGTGGAAATTACTGCAGTACCTTTGAATGTAGTTCATTTGTCTCTGCAGACCTGAATTCATTAGAAATAGGCATGTGTTCACTCTGTCATTTTATTCTATTTTCTCCAGTGCAGCATACCCATTAATGTCATTCAGGAACCGACAACATACAGAAAATGTGTGATGGATCAAAATGGGACATGGCATTTGTGGATGCAGGACAATGGCAAGAGTGGGCTTTTTTTAATACACTTTGTTTTGGTTGGACTATAAAAACACCATGGGCCAGCAAATATATCAATTTCTGAAATACAGAAAACATACTCCCCAAATTGCAATAACTATTTTATGGGCAGTTGTTGCTAATGTCAGGGCCCTTCCACACAGCCCTATATCCCAGAATGTCAAGGCAGAAAATCTCACATTATCAGTGTGGACTCAGATAACCCAGCTCAAAGCAGATATTGTGGGATTTTCTGCCTTGATATAGGGCTCTGTGGAAGAGCCCTCAGTTGGAATTGTGTGTAAAGCGTTCGTTTTAATTGATAACCAAACATCTACATACTGACTCATGAATTCATTCTATGAACTGTGAATCCATCTCTAGTTGTAAAATATGTATACAGTGTTCCCTGTTGGGGAAAGGTGTTGCTTTTGGGGAAAGAGGAG